TCTAGTTATTTTACCACCAGAAGTATGAGAACCTTTAATTTAGAAAGCTGCTAGGAAGGCAGAAAATATTCTATATCATGCCTGGCAAATACCCAACCACACTATCTTCATACTAGCATGAAGATCTAGCATACTGATACTCTTTTCTAGTTTATCTCTGGCACAACTTATTTACCTCTCCCCGTATCAAGCCTTCTCCACTGGAAACTAATTTGTAGTTTGCAAGTATAGTCCCTTCTCCATTTGTGAATTTTTACTTAATTTTTAAAATTATCTAATTTGTGGATAATTGACAATAATTTCTGAATTTCACACTAGCTGGTGGACTCATGTTGTAAACTAATGTTAAATAGTCCCTACTACTGAGAAAATATAATAGAACAATTAAGTCCATTGAAGAAGACAGTGCAAGCTGTTTAATTCTCTGTTTGGCCAGGATAATTGAGGTTTGACATCCATGTGAGAAAGTCTCCATAACAGCTGGCTATGTAGAGTTGGACTGGATTCACCACCTACTGGTAAAAGCATAGAGGTACAGGTAGAAATAGAGCATTAAAAGTACATAGAAGGAAATATAGGGGAAACACTACGTGATATGCACATCAAAGACATCTTTACAGACACATCACCCAAAGCAGTGATAGTGAAGGCAAAGATAAACAGCTGGGACTACATCAAATTAAAGAGCTTCTGCACAGCAAAAGAGACAATAACAAAAACAAAGAGAAACCCCACCAACTGGGAGAACATTTTTGCACACAACACTAATGATAAAGGACTGATCACAAAAATCTGCAAAGAGCTGATGAGACTCAACAACAACAAAGAAAATAATCCAGTCAAAAAATGGGCAGAAGAGCTAAAAAGAAACTTCTCTGAAGAGGAAATGCAAATGGCCAACAGGCATATGAAAAAATGTTCAACATCACTTGTAATCAGGGAAATGCAAATCAAAACTACCATGAGATACCATCTCACACCAGTGAGAATGGCACATATTAAAAAAACTAGCAACAACAAATATTGGCGAGGGTGTGGAGAAAAAGGAACTCTCCTGCACTGTTGGTGGGAGTGCAAACTGGTTCAACCACTATGGAGAGCTGTGTGGAGATTTCTGGACCTACTAAACATAGAGCTTCCATATGATCTAGCAATTCCACTCCTAGGTATTTACCCAAAGGACACAAACATCAATTCCAAAGAGCACCTGCACCCCTATGTTTATAGCAGCACTATTTACAATAGCTAAGCTTTGGAAACAGCCCAAATGCCCAAAAATAGATGAGTGGATCAAGAAGATGTGGTACATATATACCATGGAATATTACTCAGCATTCAAAAAAGATAAACACATGCAATTTGCAGCAACATGGATGGCGCTGGAAGGGATCATGCTCAGCGAAATAAGCCAGAAAGAAAAAGAAAAATACCGGATGGTCTCACTCATAGCAGGAATCTAGAAAATTTAAATAAGGGACCAGGAAAATGAATAACTATAAGAAAGTGAAAATCAAAATCAACAAAAAACTATGAACCAGAGATACTTTTTGGGGGGTGGGGGGTGGGAGGGGAGGGATTGGGGTTAGAATGGGTGGGTTGCAATTGTATGGGGAATATAAAAATAAAATTTATTATTAAAAAAAAAAGAACAGCAGGAATACCTCAACAACAACAACAAAAAAGTACAACACTTGTATGTACTTAATACTACTGAACTGCATAATTATAAAACTTACCATTTCAACCATCTTTATTATATGCATATTAACACAAACTACAAGGTAGTCAATACAGCATAAATTAATAATTTTTCATAATTAATAACATTAATTTATAGTGTATCACATTTATCTTATTATTAATGTAATAATACCGATAGAGTGTTACTATGTGCCAAATACTATTTAAGCACTTTACACAAAAACATATAACATTTTTCACTATTTCCCCAAGACCAAACAGAAAATAAATTTTACATTTTCTTCTATGTCATATCTGAAAATAGAATGATCACATTATAGGCTTCAGAAAAGTCTATTTTCTGAGGCTTTTGAAAACATCCTTAGTCAACAAGGAGGAACTCTGATAGAAAGCAGTGGGGAGATAAATAGAAAGGAAGGTAAACCTATTGCCAAATTTAATGCTCCTCCCCCAAAGGCAGGTGATCTATACATCCTTCCTGAGATATTAAGAAGCTTCCCCTAAGTGTAAAACATGAAAATGGAGATAAATTGGGGCTAGTGTAAATAAATGTAGGCCACTGATAAAACAAAACAAAACAAAATAATCATAAACTCATCACTATCCAAATATATCCATGTGATTATCTCAACTGTCAATCAATTTCCCCACATATGACAGATAACAGTGGCACACCCTTGAGTAGTTCTATCCAACATTGTATTGGGCTGGTCCGGGAGTTGGTTCCCCTACAGAGTGCAGCTGAAGTGAAGCTGTGCTGGTTCTGGATCAAGCCTTTAAAAGGACTGGCATCTTCTGTTTGAACATTTGCTTTTGGGAACCTGAAATTCTCTATAAGAAGCCCAGCTTCCCTGTCTGAGATATCAAATGGAATTTCCATTCGGTGAAACCATGTAATAAGAAGAGCACCTGAAAAAATTTTAAAAAACTATTTATTTTCATTAACTAATCAAAGTTTTCTTACATAGTTGTAGTCCCCATGGTTCTCCACCACCATACCATCACCATATTTGTGTACCATCGCCATATTCCCTTGTGCTCTTCCCTCCACTATTTTGACTCCACTGCACCCCCCTCATTTGCTGTATGCCTCAGTTCTATGGTAAGATTTCTAGTTTCTACTTTTCCTTTTGTTTGGTTTTTCTATATCCCACATATAAGCGAGACCATCTAGTATTTGTCTTTTTCCATCTTACTTATTACAGTTAGCATAATCCCTTCCAGCTCTATCCATGTTGCCACAAATGGCATGAGTTTGTCTTTTTTGATCACTGAGTAATATTCCATTGTATAAATATACCACACATTTTCGATCCATTAATCTATTTTGGGGCATTTGGGTTGTTTCCATCTTGGCTACTGTAACTAGTGCTGCAATAAACGTAGGAGTGCAGGTTTCCTTTTGAATTAGTGTTTTTTTGTCCTTTGGATAGATTCCTGGGAGTGGAATTGCTGGATCATATGGTAGATCTATTTTTAGTGTTCTGGAAAGCTCCACACAGCTTTCCATAGTGGCAGGACCAGTTTACATTCCCATGAAGAGTATAAGAGAGTTCCTTAATTTCCATATGCTTTCTAGAATTTGTTGTTTCTGGTTTTTTAAAATGTGGACCATTCTTACTGGAGTGAGGTGGTATCTTATTTGCATTTCCCTAGTAATTAGTGATGTTCAACAATTTTCTTTTTTTTTAAGATTTATTTATTTATGCATATAAGAACTGGCCAGAGATGCAGGGGCTGAGAGGATTCACCAGAGACACAGCAGGGAACAGAACAGGGAGACCAACTAAAACACACTGCTGGGGGGAGCAGTGGGCCAGACAGAAGAGATCTGCTGCACCAACTGAATTAGCTCCTTGGTGGGGCATGGAATTGCAGTGCCTTGGGATAGCTTCACAGTGCTGAGCCTTAATCCCTTGCACCACCAGAGAATCCCTGAACAGATTTTCATATACCTATTGGCCATTTGTATTTCTTCTTTGGAGAAGTGTCTTTTTAGTTCTTCTACCCACTTTTTGACTGGGTTATTTGCTTTGTTTTTGTTGAATTGTGTAAGTTCTTTGTAGATCTTTGCTATCAGTCCTTTATCTGTCATATGGTGTGCAAATATTTTCTCCTATTCCATAGGATGTCTCTTTGTTTTGATTATTGTATCTTTTGATGTACAGAAGCTTTTTAGCTTGCTATATAGTCCCAGTTGTTTATCTTCTCCTTTGTTTGCCTTGCTTCTGGAGAAGAACCCTCAAAGATGTTCCTGAAGTTTTTTGTCTATGTTTTCTTCTATATATATATATTCTTTCTTCTATATATTTTATGGTGTTAGTTCTTACATTCAAGTCTTTTATCCATTTTGAGTTGATTTTTGTATATGGTATTAGGTAGTAGTCTAGTTTCATTCTTTTGCATGTTGCAGTCCAGTTTTCCCAGCACCATTTATTGACAAGGCTTCCCTTGGAACCAGAAACATTTTGGAGAGGGAGACAGGACAGGCTACCCCAGCATTTAGTTGAGCTTCCTGATGACTCTGGCTTAACCACTGTCTGATTGTACCCTCACAGGGGACCCAAATGAAATCAAGCAGTAAAACTGCCCAGCTGAGCAGTCATGCCACAATGACATGATAATACCTTTATTGTTGCTTTAAGCACTAAATTTTGAGATGGTTTGTTCATCGGTTACTGTCTATTCCAAGTAACTTAAAGGATGTCAAAAAGTCCCCCAGGCTTGCTATGTCTTAGGATCATTGAATGCCAAGTTCTCAGGGCAGGGAATGCTAAAAGGGGCAATGTCTGAGGAAGAGAAAGGGGTAGGTTGGATAAACAGAGAGAAGGGCACTGAATGAGAACTTCAACTGCTTGCCAGATTGGTTTGGTGCCAGTTCTAGCACGAATGGCTGCATCTGAGTAATAGTTCCAGTGCTTTGTTCACAGGTAGTAGCTTTCCCTTAGGTGAACCTATGTTTTTAAATAGTATTTCATATAATGCCAGCTAGAAGGAAGTCAAGGTTACATGTTCAGTTTTATCAGAGTGGGTTTGGTTTCATTCCATGTCTAATGACCCCCTAACTTGAATATCAATATGTGCAGCCCAAGGGAGATCAGACCTGATTCACAAGTCCAAGAGGACTTCTGAAAACACGCTGACTCATATCTTTACTCAGTGAGGGTCAGAAAAATCATTGTCATTTAGGTGGGTCAGGGTATTTTAAGAACTAGTAGTTTCACATGGTAAGATTTTTTTCCCCCCTTTCTACTGCTGGGAAAAGCCAATGAAAAATCATATTTGTTTTCTTTATTTTCTTTCTTTATTTTTTTTAAGAGTATTTACACAAGAACTGGGGTACAGGTCAGAGGCATGGGAGGGTGAGAGAATTCACCAGAGAGAGCGGGGAGCAGAACAGGCAGATGGACCAAAGACACTTCTGAGGGGAGCAGTGGGTGAGGCAGAAGAGGTCTGCCACACCATGTGGGTTTCACCCCGGCTGGCCGGGAATCGAACCCACGCTACAGAGGTTGTGGACAGCTTCAAAGCACAGCGCTCAACTTGCTGCGCCACCCGGGAGGCCCCTTTCTTTACTTTAAAATCATAGTTCTTTCAAAGAAATGTAGCAGTGAAAGCTAGCCAGGTCAATGTAATCTTTTTATTAATGTGAATGAAATTTAAAAGAATGGTAATGAAGCATGCTAACTACATGAGTCTTACTTTACACAATATACTTCATCATTGTGGAAGAAGAGCCATTTTCTTGTTGGTTCTTAATCCTTTCCCATGTATTTTCAAGTTAATGTAGGAGTAATAGTACTGCCTCGCCTAATGGTAGCAAGGAGTTGCATTATAAAAGTTTCATATATAAAATTTCATTCTCCTATAGAAAATAAAGGAAATAGTAGAAAATCATTAACATTTGAAATAGCTATAAAATACATTGCCCACTCTAAATGGTTTTTATATTTAAGGACCCCTCCTATCTTTTTGAATATTCAATTCTAGTAAATATCACAGCCAAAGAGTTCTAGTCGAAGGGTAATACTTTGATTCCATGTCTTAGGAATGATGCGGATAAACCTGGAAATAATTGGTGGGTTGAAAAAATTCTTCACATGTCCTTTAGTATTACTGTTTCCTTCAAAAATCTGAAAGCAAAATGAGAGAAAATCTTTAATGGTGGTATAATGGGTATAAAAATTTTACATATTTTAAAAATGTTTTTAATTCAAACTGAGGACATTAGTGAACATGCCTGACATTATCATAGAGATATTCTTCAATTAATTATGAAATCACACACCAGATAGACAGACTCCTGTCTGTCTTACCTCACTGGGATCTAAGTTAAATTAGGGAAAAATGAAGAAACCTGACATGGTACTGTGGAAAAGCTCTGTGACTTTGAACAAATTACAATCTCTGTTTCTCCATTTCATCACTGGTGAAATAGAGATAAGAAAATTTATCTCACAGAAGTTTCTGTGAAAATTTTGAAAAAATATGTAAGCATATGTTGAAAGCCTAGAAAGTGCCATAAAGGGAACACTAATAAATGGTGAATTATCACTAACATATAAAATAAAGTACAAACATGAACTTTTTAATCCTTTTCAGCATATGCCCTATATCCTCATTTAGAATGAATTTTATGCCTTTCTTTTTTGTGCATCCTCAGCAAGTTCCCCAAGATTTACACATAATGGAAGCTAAATCACTAGTTTTTGACAATAACTATCCTGATGTGAGAACATGCTTGCACAGTGAGAAATAAAACAACCAATGCACCCACATGGGGCTTAAAAAGAAAGAAAAATTAAATTCATTAACGAGATAAGTGTTAAGCCCATGGTAGACATTCAGCAAAAGTTCACTCCTTCTTGTGTCGCCCCATCCTACTAGCTTTAGCCCAGGTATTGGAATTGGGCTCATTGGGTATTGGAACATTAGGTTCATCTCCTTAGTTTTACCTCTAGTAGCATTTTTAAAATCACGTAAGTAGGAATTTAGGAGTGTAATGAAATACTTCATCTTGTAGAAAGTTTGTCTCCTTACCAGTAAAGATACAATTGTTTTCTGCTTAGTGAGAATATGATACAGAAAGTTTTATGGTCATGGATGTTTAATTAGTCATGAATAATAGGTATATCCAAGGCAATGCTAATATATTTTTATTTCACAGTGGGACCTTTTCTAGCCCCTATTATAGACTGTATTTTTTGTGTCCTCCCAAATTCATATATCAAAACCTTCAATCCCCAATAGAATGGTATTAGGAGGCAGGATATTTGGAGGGTAATTAGGATTATATTAGGTCATGAGGGTGGAATCCTCAAGATGAGATTAAAATGCTTATAAAAAGAGAAGATACCTCCTTCCTTCCCTCCCTCTTCCTCTCCACACACCAAGGAAGGTCATACAAGAACACACCCAGGAAGAGTACCATCAGCAAGAACCTGACCATAACCGGCACCCTTGCCTAGGACTCTAACTTTTAGAACTGTGACAAATAGTGCATGTCAAGTCACCCATTCTATGGTAATTTACAGTAACTTAGGCTGACCATACAACCCTTCAGCAGTTAGCTCTATCATAGCTAAGTAAGCTTCACATCAACCCCTGTCTTTTTTCTGTTTCACAGGGAGTAGGTAGGGGCTCTGTTCCTGTCCCCAGACAAGCTACCTGCAGAGCTAGGATTTAGAAACTTAAAAAGACAGCGCATGTCAGTACATATTTGTCAAGTGTAGAGAACCATTTACAAATGCAGTGTACTATTATTATCATAATAAAGTTTTTAAATTGTTTTCTTTTTGCCAAGCTCCCACCTTGTCCACCATGGAGGATTTCTGCCTATAAGGTTTCCATTCCACTCCCTGGTCACTGTACTGGATGGTATAGCTCTTCACATACATTTCAGAGGACAGAGACTTGCAACCCTGGGTTACAATTGCAGTTATCTTCTTGATTTTGAGCAGATCAATTTGTAACCACTGTTTGATATTATTTGCCTATGAAAATGATAACACATGGATAAGATAGATTTTTTTTAGACTAAGACACTCAGAAATGCATAGAGTTCAAGAGGATTTCGTTTCTATCTCATCACTTAAAATACTCTATCTGCTGAAAGCTTTCCTTGTTCTGTTTGCTGTCACAGCACATATATAAACATCTACTGGAGTATTTCACATATTGTACAATAATTATTTACTTGTTCGTATCCCTTACTCTTTGAGAGCATATTTAGTTTTGCTTCTCATGATACATAGTGCACCATTTGTATTCCACAAATTCTTTTTGAATAAGTAAATGAATTCTACTTGAGAAAAACATTAAATGCCTATATTATCTGTCAATATTATTCTCTCAAGTGGACTTACTTAAATAAAATGATACTATGGGAAAGGTTTTAATAATCTTGTTATTTAATCTATTTTAGAAAAGTCCTACTTTTTTTCTTCCATGGCTAATGTTAATAGAAGTATTCCAATTTCTTTTTTGATATTTCAAGTAAATGTAATATTTGAGACACCTGGTAAGACCATATCTATGACATAGTGTGGCATAGTAATTATCCTGTTTCTGGTTTAGAAAATGTCTAATCATTTGTCTGGTGATATGTACTCAGAGGAAGCCGATCAGGAGAATGAATTGAGTTTTGGAGTAATCAAAGATGAATTTTCACCTTTGGGAGACTGGTCATAGTTTCATTCGACTCTATATGAAATAATGAATATTTCCACTCAGTAGTGGATGTCTGTGTGAGCACATATGTATGTATACAAATGCTATCTGTATTTTAAAGCAAATTAATTGAATTAAAATTATTATGTAGATAATATTTTGCTAGTTTCTTACTACTATCTAGTGATATCTGGTGGTTTTATTTTAGTGTGTCTTCAAATCAAGGTGGTCCTAGTGATACCGAGTGTGGGTAACGAGAGAAATTTTTAAGCAAAAACAATTTTTGTGGACATACAAGAGGTAGAGGTACTAGTCTGTGTGAATGCCTGCATATGTATGGCTTAAATTTTCAGCTTCTCTAAAGAAACCTATAAAGACATTTAATCTAATAGGTTAAGTCAAACAAATATCAATAGATCTGACCTAGAATTACAGGTGAAAATGACAGCATTAAAAATTAAATTTAGAACCTTTATTACATCATATAGACAATGAACAAATTACATGCAGAGCCAGCTTTTAAAAAGGCTGTCAAATTGGAGGATAGTGTGACAAGATTTCTCTACAAACAGCTCTAAGTCATTGGGAATGATTAAACCGCATCCCCTCTCTCTTTAACTTTTTATTTGTATTGTTTATATTTTATATAAATATAACATTGTTACTTTTATCATTCTCCTTTGGGTCTCATTTTCCATTCCCCCAGCACCCCAGCACAATTGCAAAATGAGGTGCTTGGGTTACTTTAAATGATAGAAGGAGCACTGAGTTGGTTATGGGGAAATGGAATTCCTGAATCTGCCGTCAGGCTAAGCTAAAATATTTCATCTCTTTTGTGCTTAGACTTTAAAGAAAAAGTCTTAATAGATGCTTTGTAAAGCCCCTCACCTTTTTAACATCCAGTAATTCTTTCTTTATTAGAAAGACACAGACATTGGTTCCCCAGACTATCTGTACGGAGTCTAAATTTCTCTTTTATTCCGTTAGCACCACAGTTCCCTTTTCCTCTCTTGTGTCCTAATTTAAGGACAGGACCTAGAATCCTATAGAGTCCAGAAAATTGGAGAATTAGGTATCTTAAGGGAGGGAAATAAGAGGGTAGAAATTAGGGAACTTGAGCTTTAGCTGACAAGATGGTTCTGAATTCTGATTCCATTCTGATTTTGCCAGCCAGGTGAAGAGTGAAATAAAAATGAATCCACTAACAGTTACCCTTTAATTAAGTCACTTGAATATCAGGGGCAATACAACTCTCTTGGAGGCATTTTCTAAACTTAGATCACTGGTTTAGAACTCTGGATTTACAGCATTTCATATTCAAAGGGGATATTCACCTTGGCTTGCCAGGCATTCACACGGCCCTGGGCATTAAGACGGGCACGGAAAGGTTCCCAGTAATCTCCCCACCAAGATTTTTTAAATGAGGAAGCTGTGATTTGCGTGTTTTCTATCTTTCCACTTTCCATACCAAGTGGTGTAGAACATCCTATCAAAAGAAAAGTAAGGTGATTAATTACACCCCACCAATATTCCCCACATAATGTTTTGCAATGTAGAAATAGTATTGTATTACTACCAAGTTATAATGAAAATATCCAGCACAAAAATATTGTCTCAAGTGCCAAATCCTTTTTTCAAGTTTTCCATGTATTATTTAATACTCTTAATTATTTCCATTTTACAAATGAGAAAACAAAAGCACAGCAAGAAAAAAAAAATACTTGCCTAAAGTTGTCACTGCTAGAAGAATAAGAAATTCAATTTAAGCCTTGGTAGTCTGATATCACAGTCTCAATATCTAAACTTATTTCTGTTCTTAAGGGAGTCATGGAACCTTATGTTTGCTTTGAAGTAGACAATATACTTATATTACTAGGTATATAAAATCATTCTGTTTCTTCTAGCAAACTACAAAGAAGACATAGTGGATGCTTGGTAGTCAAATTTAATCTTTTCCTTTCAATTCTTTATGGGTGATTCATGGTATATATCTTTTGAAATTTTGCCAGGGCATGTATTTGAACATCATAAGCAGCAAGGATAAACTGTGAGTATAAGATACATAGGCAGGGGAATACCCAGCTGTCTGTCTTCCTCCATCAGCATGATAATGCTGCTGCTGCTGCTGATGATGATGATGATGTGATGCTCTGCTCTTGTTAGGAAATCATGGAGACATTTTTCTGAAGTGATACTTTATATTCTCCATTAAAAAAAAAGCCTCTCATAGAAGAAAGCCCACTGCTAATACTAGTTATACAGATACCAAGAAAGTGAACAGAAAAAGAGTAATGCTTCTTGTATAGAAAATAGAGGTTTTAAATAGATTAATAGAGTTGAAAGTCACATTTGAGAGTAGTTTGACTCTATAATCTTACAAAGTACCAATGATATCATATACCATGTGGGGAAAAGCCCACTGATTTATGGAGCAGTTTCAAGGGTGAAGTTCTTGCCTGTATAAAATTTGCATTGTTTCTCTGCTAATTGGCAAAATGTCCCTATCACTATCCCTCATGAATATTAAGAGTGTACTATATTCCATTACTGGATTTGATAAGAAACTATTTCCAAATTTCAAATACTTTCTCCACTGTAGGCCAAGGCTTCTTCTGTCCACCCTGAGAGAATGTACTTTCTCCCTATAGGCTGTCTCAGAAACACTTGGGTATTGTATATTGTTTCTCTCCTACCTCAGGTCTTGGTTGAAACTGGAGGTTCCTGGAGTAGCCAAGCTGTGGGTCAATGGCTTTTGTTTTTTATCCCAGAATGCTAGAGTGATGTTATTTCCTATATGTGCTTATGTGAAAAATTTTGGAAGGTACTGCCTTAAGAATAAGCCATGTTATGTGTGGTAGAATTTTATTATGGCTGTTTATGATCACCTAGATTTATTTATACCACAGATAACACTGACCTTCTGAAAAAAAGCTTACAGAGAAGAGGCTTGGGTACCTATATAGGGTATGAAACTATATGGAGCACAATCAGGTTTCAGACAGTTGGAATGCAGATTTAAATTTCAAAAATATTCTGTAAACAATAATATGTGACAGTAATGTTGCTCAATATTTTTATGACGTTAAAGTTGAGTGGCCTGGAGGACTTTGAAAGAGTCAGGTCTAGTTTGAATCTCAGATAGTTATTATTAAAAAGGGATCAGCTGAGGTCTTTGTGAGCTAAGGTTCTTCCCCAGAGGGTCAGGTAGTGCTTTTATCAGTAGACAGAGAGATGCTCTCTACTCTGGCTGGTAGAACCAGTCTTGGTCCTGATCACATGGAGTTTATCTGAGTGGAATCTCTGTTTGACAAAGGTTTTTTAGGAGCTGCAGTGATTCAAGAGAATAACTCTACCTATCCTCCCACACCTACCAAATCTTGATTCTTTGCGCAACAGCAAGAAAATAGTGCATTTTCCCTCTTACCGTTAACCTCACAACCTTGCAGCTCCAGTCGAAGGGTAGGTCTGTTATAGGATCTAGTTGGAGAGATCCTAATATATCTAGCCACAAAAGGGGGATCAAATGTATTCTCTTTTACTGTAGAGGCATCAAAATTACCGTCAAAATACTAGAGGAAAAGAGGAAATTTTAATTATATAACAATTGTCTAATAGGTGATTTTATAATAAAATTATAAATAATATAATATAAATAGAATACATAATAAATAATAACATATAATCATATAATATAATAAAATATAATAAAATTGTAATATTAAGTTCTTTGTGGCCCTAACCAAATCAATTTGATTTTAAAAGTTTTGGTATCTTTCCACATTTTTAGGAAAATTGTTGTAGTTATACTTTGCCTGTTCCTTCTGCTAAGGACAACTAAAAACATAAGACTCTGAAGGGTAGAAAGAATAAGGAGACTGGTTAGAATTCTTGAGAGTGATATTAATACAACTCTTTCCTTCAGGTGCACTGAAATCAAGAACAAAATAAAAAGTAAAATTTAGTAAAATCAAACCCTGGGTGGCTAATTTTTCATACACGTTCCTTAAAGCTCAAAACCAGATGTTCTACTCTCCTGTACCCCATGTGCCAATATGAGAGGTCTGGATATTTAGCTGGATGATAAAGTAATTATTTTCCCCAAGTTTTATGGTGTTTTGAAGTTTCAGAAATCAGGTTTATCATAATTTGTCATATACAGTCAAAAGCCCTAGCAAAGCCATTCCTCTTTCTAATATACAGAAGGTTTTTTTTTTTTTTAAAGACAGTCATAATCTAAGGTAAACTAGACATAGCTATGAGGGTGGGTCTTGAAATTCAGAAAGGAAAAATGCATACAGACCATCACATTCTTTGTGCTATTCCCTTTGAAGATCCTCCAATTTGACTGATCAGAGCTGTAAGCCACAGTAAACTCAGTGGTATAGTAGGACTTCAGATAGTGTTTGGCACCTTGGGTCTGAATCCCTGTGAGTAAGACTTCCCTTTGCAAGTCCACCTGTAATACAGCAAAGCAGAACTGTTTGTGTTAACAAATCACTCATTGCCTTAATTTGCTGTACAACCAGCTTGCTTTTGTACTAAAAAACTAGAATCTAAGGTCTCAGCAAACTATTGATAGTAAAACTATTAGATGCAATCCATATTTGCACACTTAGTACATGGACTTGAATCCTAGCTCAGTCCCTAACTGGCTATGTGTGACTTTGGGAAGTCTTACCTTTTTTCATCTGTAAAGTGGGATATTACTAGAAATAGCCTCATTGGGTTCATTTTGAATATGTAGAATACTGAGAACAGAGCCTACCATCTAATAATTGCTATTTTTCCTAACATTGCAAGAGCAAGAAGATGAAATTATGAAGTCACTGTCATTTTTATTATAATAGGAGTCAATATTATCAAGTTAATAAGTCATACCTGGATCCAAGGTGTAGAGACATAATCTGTTGAAGATTTTTCTGCAATCCAAGCATTATATGATCCTCCATTATTTAATCTTGCTAATTTGGGCTCCCAATAACCTAAACCCAAGGGAAAAAAGTTTATTCTGAGTTAAAACCAAACAAACTACAGAAACAGCTTCTCATGGGAATTTAGTCCCAAGGGGAAACCAGTTCCTTGGAAAACCTTTGTTGCAGTTAACAGGGATCAACTAGCAGTTGACAGGGATCTCAGCTATTAAGTCAACCCAGGATGACAAAATCTTGACTTTATGTCTTTGCTTGGCCAGCTCTTGCTACCACTTACCCCCTTTCTTGCATACAAGCCTGGTTTATTTTTTCTCATTTATGTGGATGTGGTTGTGGCTGAGTGTGCCTGCCTAACAGCAAGATCTGGAAAGGATTTAGGAGAGCCTAATGATTCCTTGCAGTTGACCTCTTGCTCTTCTGAAGGAGTTTGAGGCAAAGTGAGGAAATTCATCACAAAATGGTGATGAACAAAGTTTCTTGAATAGATACATGGTTGGCATAGCAAAAGGCCCTATTAATGGGATCTGTAATCCCTGATCCACAAAACCCTGTTAACCTGGCTGGAATATTATACAAAGAATCAAATATAGAATAAGGACAAATGGAGAAAGTTTTGAAAACATGGTCATAAGAATAAGCTATTCACTTCTTGTCCAATCCCTGCTGAGAGACTGGACTGACTATGTAGCTCTTGGTCTTCCCTTGGAGACACTTTTTGAGAATATTATACACTAGAGGGGTTGGTGGTGATAAAGTGGCAACAGCAACCTTTAGCTTCTGTCATAGTGTTCCTTCATGTACCAGATGAGCACCCTAAATGGAGCTGCTTTTGTGGTAGAGAAAAGCCTCCTGCAGGGCTTCCCCTGTGGCTCAGCGAGTTGAGCACAGCACTGTGAGGCTGTTCACAGCCTCTGCAGCACGGGTTCGATTCCCAGCCTGCCATGGAGATTCCCACATGGCATGGCAGACCTTTCCTGTTGTGCCCACTGCTCCCCTCAGCAGTGTATTTCGGTCGTCTGTCTGTTCTGTTCCCCGCTCTGTCTCTGGTGAATCCTCTCACCTTCCAGTGCCTCTGGCCTGTACCCCAGCTCTTGTATAAAAATAAATAAATAATAAATAAATATATTAATAAATAAATAAATCTTTAGGGGGAAAAAAGCCTCCTGCAGAGTAGCAATAGCCCATAGATTTAACTGGCAGGGTTTTCAGGGACGGTTTTGCAAGCTCCACACTGCATAATTGTAGGAGGTACCATTCATAGGTTACTACTTACTCAAATACTCAGAAGCCTTGATCTGTGAATCAGTTACAGTACCCGTGCTCAACCCCATTGGCATCTTACATTCTACGGAAAAAAAAAAAGCAAAAACCAGAATAATGAGTAATTTTTCTTCAAAAATATATATAACAAACTAAAAGCTCCATGGCTATAGATTCTATCTCCTGTGGGTCAGGAGATAGATGCCTATCTTTTGTTGCAATGTCTTAGATATTTCTGATTATAAAATGGTAAATACACTAAAAAGACTGGTGCCTTAATAGAAATGGTGACACCGTAGTGGAAAACCACTGAAATCCTGAAATGCATTAGCTTTAAAACTAATCTCCATCTATTCATATTTAAAACAAATCATTTTCCAACATTAAGTACTATCCCTCAGAAGACTCTCTTCTCAAAAATTGACCTGAAAGGTTGCAAGGTTTTTTATTTCTTCTTCATGGAAGAGAATACCATTCACTGAGCCATCTGGATGTTGACACATTGCTCAACAGGTACTTGATAGATGCTGGCTGGCTGACTATACAAATGGAAACTATATTTCTCGAATATTGAAATGCTAAGTTCACTGTTTATCTCAGTCATTGTTGAAATCCAGGCATCTTTTCCCTTTTCTTCTCTAAGAAACTGTAGAATTTCTTCCATGTACTTTCCTATGGATCTCAAACTATGCATGAATAAGGATAACTTTACATTGGATCCATAGTTGGAAGGCATGCCTTGGGCTGAACCATCTGGATTAAGTTCCTAGAGGACTGATGTTTATAGTATAGTTGTACCATGGGTCAGAATGAAAGCAATTACCATGACAGATTATGTCTCTTTCATGTCTGAATTCTCTGAGTTGAATATTTCCCATCTAAAAATTGGGAACATTCTAGTAACAGGTACTCTCCTGCTAAAAATACCATGTGACTCTTAGATGATACCTTTGTCTATGATGAGAAATGGTGTTTGCATCCCTTCTTTCTGGTTTTCTCCAACCTGTGTGTCTAGGAGCCACCAGCCTGGTTTTGATGCCTTCATTTCAAGAGTTTTAAATGAACCTAAAATAGAGAGTAAGGGACAACATCAAATACCCAAAGATAAACAAGTTAATATGGTTGACAGCTACCAAAAAATTGTAGAAACTTTATATCACAAAAACTTCAGATTAGAGCTTAGAAGTTATCCATTTATCTCTAGGCAGGATTAGAGGTATAATAAGCAAATAAAGAGAAAACAAGAATGTATATATATTAATAAAAATAAATCTCCCTGGAACTTTAAAACATTTCCAACACAACTCAATAAAAAGAAACCTTCATTTATTTGTATATAATGTTATAGCTGACCCATACATAATATAGTTTCCTAGTCCTAAGTGGCAAAACAATCTTGAGCAATCCATCATTGCACCTCAAAAATAGTGTACATATTTCCTTTCTGTCTTCATTTTGCTAGTTTTTCCTTTTTTGTATAAGAAAATTAAAATAAAACACCTCACCCATATTTCAATTTTCAATTAAGTTTACATATTTAGATAGAATTATACACAAATCATTTCAAAAATCACTGGGAAAAGAGATTTCTGAAACTTCTGATTATACATTTTGGTATTTAATGTTATCAATTACCAGTGAATTCTTAAATTTGCTATCATTTGTGACTGTTTCCCAGAATGTGAGTAAAGATTAATAGCTGATGGTTGTTCTCCTCAAAGACACTAAAGAAAGACCTTCCCAGGTCCAATGCAGATATTTAGGTTTGCAAAGTTAGGTGGGTCAGCCAATCCCAGCTTCTCAGTGCTTCTCTCAGACTCAGGGAAGGATGCCTGATCTGATAACATTTTTTTTAAAGATTTATTTATTTTTGTACAAGAGCTGGGGTACAGGCCAGAGGTGCGGGAGGGTGAGAGGATTCCCCAGAGACAGAGCTGGGAGCAGAACAGGCAGACGACCAAAATACACTGCTGAGGGGAGCAGCGGGTGCGACAGGAGAGGTCTGCCATGCCATGTGGGAATTTCCCTGGCTGGCCAGGAATCAAACCTGCACTGCAGAGGCTGCAGACAGCTTCACAGCGCTGTGGTCAAACCACGGAGGCCCTGATCTGGTAACATTTGCAAAAATTAAGGAATGGGGCCTCCCCTGGTGGCACAGGTGGTTGAGCGCCACTCTGTGAAGCTGTCCGCAGCCTCTGCAGCACGAGTTTGTTCCCAGCCAGCCAGCTAACCGGCCAGCAAGGGTCCCACATGGTGCGGCAGACCTCTCCTGTAGCGCCCGCTCCTCCCCTCAGCAGTGTATTTCGTCAGTCTGCCTGTTCTGTTTCCTGCTCTATCTCTGGTGAATCCTCTCACCCTCCTGTGCATCTGGCCTATACTTTGGTTCTTGTATAAATAAAATAAATAAATAAATCTTTAAAAAAAATTTTACTAATCCTGTCTTTGTTTTTTAATAGTATGCCCTTTATAGCCTTATTAATGAGTCACTGGCATGATTGAAACAAACAAGAACCCTCTTTGTCCTACTCCTAGCCAAAGCAGGCCCAATTTAAACTTCTGTACCCTCATCCAAAGCTGACTCACATAGCAACTTCCCCACTCAGAGTCCCACTAAAGGACTGCCTTTACTAGCTGAGGGCCTTTGTGGACGTAGGTGACTCATTTAAAATTCAGATTCCTGGGCTCCTGACTATGATCTACTGGATCAAAGTCTGAGAGCAAACTCTCTGCCTTAGTGCCTATATTTTAACCAATTCTTAGGCTTTGCCCATTACAGTTTGAGAATCAATGGCATCTAGCACTCCACCTCCATCCACACACCTATGACACACTGGTACATCGACAGCTAACTCATTGGCATATAGAGATCCTGTCTAATGACTGTAGTTTGTTTAAGCCTTATTACTTCGCACATGACAAACTCCAAATATCTTTATTTTTTATCTTTCACAATCATTAAAAATAAAAAAAATTTTTTTTCTTCTAAACAGCCACATGAGTTAAAGATTAAGATCCCCCCATAGTCATTTGCCCAAGGATATCAGGGTGACAAAGAGTGCAGAATTCAAGAGCACCAAGGTATTAGCAAGTTTCTCATCTTTGTCCCAACAGAAAGTGTTAGCTGCTTGTGGAATTCAGTTTGTAAAGTACTTATGACCCAGTCTGTGTACACACAGTGGCTTGGATGAAGCTGCATTAGTCATAGCATCTCTGTAGAAGCAAGTTGGGCCACATATTTAAGCTGTGTGGTGCATTTATTCTCTGGCTTTGTTGCACTCTGTGTACAGTTTTGGAATATGGCTTTGCCGGGGATCTATATTTGACCCTTTAGGGAGTAAATGCATGAGGAAACCAGTTGCAGACGCTAAGAGTGCCTTCTCTTGCCCCCCCCTTTTTTTTTTTTTTTAGCAGGGGCCTCTTTTTACTGCTCAGATCTTTACCAGGCAGGAGGGGCCAGACCCCTAGCTGGTGCTGTTGAGTGCCATTTTCCAGCAGCGTCTGGCCATGGAAGTGAACCACGTGAATGTCTTGGGAGCTGCCGATGTTCAGCAGGTGCCATCTCACCCACTCTTGCTCATACATTCGCAGGCCAGGCACATTGTAGATCCTTCCATTAATGGCTGAAAAGACAGAGTATTCCCATCAGTTAAACATCTGCGTACATCAGGAGAGAGCCCTGTAAGGAAGAATGAGGCACCCCGTTCACCACCCATCCTCCTTATTAGTCCACATGCCCAGGCCTACCCAGGTATAGTAAGGATGCCATATGCTGTCCTGTCATGGAGAGGACGAAAGCGACACCAGATCCTTGTCACAATAGTATGTAACAGAGTGGAGGGGGAGCTACTTTTCCAGATACTTTGTCACTCCCGTTATCTGTCACAAGGACAATCAAGCCCAGTTATCTGTCACAAGGACAATCACTTCTGTATAAATAATTGTTCCTTTGGAGATTAAAAAACAGGTTTATTAACTGTTCAAACTGCAGGATAATATTCTTTACTGTTCAAGTTATATTGCCTCCTGAGGCCCAATGACTTTTTTCTTGGTTTGTTTTGGTTTGCTTTGTGCTATCTTTCAGACTTTCCCTACTCTCCTTCACTCTCAAAGTCACTAGCCAGGAGACACGAGGCCTCTGTAACTAGATTCATTTGTAGCTCCTATCTCCCCAGAAGCATATCATGTCTAATCTTATGAAGCCCGAAAGACAGGAATCACTGTCACCCAGTGTGATTTAATTCAGAGATAATCAATGTCAGAGGACAATACCATGAAACTCATGGGAGTTTTTTTCTTCCAAGGACATACGTCTCCGAGACCCCTGGGGCTTCTTTTCAAAGTACCAGCTCTTCTTTTCATCAAAGACCATAAAAAGTAAGACAAATTCTCTCATGTCTGTAGGCATGTAGTTCTCCTTTTGAAGTGTTCCTTTTCGGCAGATCAAAAGGGGACCTATCAAACCCGAATGGATATCCTTTTCCTGGAAGATAGTAAGAGTGGATTGTATGTATTCTCACTTTCTCAGAATTTTCTTTGCTAATCTGACAATCACTGATTATATAGAAAAGGGAGCTTCTCAGAGGCTCTGGATTTGAAGATTATAGGTGAATAGTAAGCCCAGATATTTGTCATCTAGTTCTATAACATTCATTGTTCTTCCTCTGACTAATCCTTTATCTCAATATGGTAATAACTAATTATGATAGTAATATTGAGTCTATAAAATGCTATATATTGAGCTTCTATTGCTATATTAAATATTTTGCCTATTGTGTCTTATTCAATTCTGACAACAGTTCTATATGGTAAAAATATATTCATTTATTGAACAAATGTTATGTAGTATTAACTCATTTCTAATTTTGGAATTGAAGTGGATAGAGATCATATAACTTTCCAGGAGCCATACAGTAAGTGACAGGACAAGACTAAGTCTCTGTTCTGTCTACCATGCCTACAATGAAGAAGCCTTGACTTTACACTTCTTTCATTAAGAAAGAACAGGAGAAAGTTAATAGTGGTTCAAAGAAGTTGCAAATACACATCTGTCACAGGAAAGGTAGGCTTTCTAACTGGGCGCCAATGATTTAAGTAATCCATACCCTACTTTACTGAACAAATGTTTCTTTCTCTGTTCTCTGAAGATCTCCTTGGAGGGTGCCTGGTTAGAATGGTTGTAGACTGTGGAACACAGTCCTTATATGGTCCTTATAAATACCAACACAGGTACTTACAAGAAATAATTCTGACCCTTCTGTTTGGTAAGCTCAGGTTAAATGGTTATGGGAAAAATGAAAACTTTCAGTGGATGTACATACCGGGTTCACAGCTGAGTAGTAGGCCCAGGCCCGACAGGCAGAGCCAGGATTTTCTGGTCCTGATCTCTCAGTGGCATGCCATACATATGTATAGCTGCTGTTTGGCTGGATGGTATTATCTTCTTTAAACCATTCAGGAGAATCATCATCATATGTCTTTCCCTCCGATGATTTTTCATAGGAAAGTCCATGGGCATGAAGAGAATATGGTCTGGATGCTAAATTTTTAAAACGAACCTAGAAATAAAGGAATAAGCTACAAATATACTCAAGGTTAACAAAAATCCAAACCTTAACAAAAAACCCAAAGTTTATAGAAAATGCCAGCATTGTAGTGAATGGATACAAAATATATTGAATGATTACAAAAGCAAAGTAATGTGCTTAGGTTGTTTCATTTAAGTATTGATACTATCTACAAATGAAATAATAGTGACAGATGCTGGAGATTTGAAAATGAATGAGGCTTGGTTCTTGCTCACAATAAGTTTTCAGCCTACTGTGGAAGAAAGACATGTGCTTATGAGTTCAAGTTAAGATTTAGAAAACAAAGGGTACTATAAACAAGTCTGAATGGGGTTAGATGGGAATGTCTGGGAGGAGCAATTTGGTTGAATGCTTGGGAGAGGTTGGTGGATTAAAAAAAGTTTTTTAGGGAAATAGATTGGCCTTATGGAATGAACAGGAGCTCAGCAGAGGGAAAAAGGAGAAAATATGCTCAGAAGAGCAAAAAGATGTCTGTGAGGGGTATAAGTGTTTAGGTAACAGTGAGGGTGTTGGTGTGGCTGTGTTGGGGCATGCACAGCAGCATTGGGTCTGGTGAGAAATGAGTCTACAAAAGGAGGTTGGGACCAGATGGAAGAGAACTTTCAATACCATCACATTGGGTATTTCCATGACCCATTACAATCAGACCATGAGGGAAGATCCTTCTAGCCTTTCTCTTCTACAGCTTCTATTGAATAGAAACTCCCCTAATGAAAAGAGAAAGGACTAGTGCTTTCCATATCTTCACAGACCATTCAGAATAATTGGGGCCTTATATCCCACGTCATCTCTTTGCATTTTTAAAAAGAACAAATCATTGCTAAAAACTTGCTAAAAAAGGTAAATAGGGCCTCCCTGGTGGCACAAGGGTTAACTTACAGTACTATGAAGCTGTCTGCAGCAGACCACTGAGATTGATCCCCAGCTGTCCAGGGAGCTAACCCACATGGCGCAGCAGCCCTCTCCTGTCTAGCCCGCTGCTCTCCTCAACAGAGTGTTTCAGTCAATCTGCCTTTTCTGTTCCCCACTCTCTCTCTGGTGAATCCTCTCACCCTCCACCCTTGTACTTCAGCCCTGTACCACAGTTCTTGTATGCATAAATAAATAAATCTTTTTTTAAAAAAAGGTAAATCAGGATTTTGGTTTAAGAATAGTTTATCATGGTTTCAGAATCCTCTCCTATATTTTTTTTTTTTTTTTTGTGAGACGTTAAAAAGAATAGAGCATAACTTTTGACTCTTATAATAGCTGGCTACAGACCTACAGGCTGATACAGAATTTTGTAAAAAGACCAGGACTGGGAAGATATTTAAGACACTCACTGACTTTTGAAGGGTTATTCTTTTCCTTCAGTCTTGGTGTGGAAACCCATTTAGTGTCTTAATTTTCTAATTTTCTTAGAAAACAATGGGAGGAGCTTCTAAATTACTACTATTAATACCACTGCTATTGCCACCACTACCATGGCACTTGATTGTACCTGAAAATATTCTGTTAGCTTTATACCGGTTAACTATAGAGCAATTAGAGTGATGTCCCTTAGATTATATAGTTTTCAGAATTAAAAAAAAAATCTGAGATTATTCTTTTTCCTGAAGTTTGCCAAATTACTTGTCAAGCAGTCTCTCAGAAGACATATAATTACTTGTTAATATTGGAAAATAAACAAATTGCCTATAGCTCCCTTGCTAACCTTCACCTAAACTCCAATGTTTGTGGAAATATCTCTGATAATCTTAGCCATGATCAAAATATGACTTACTTGGATAACATCATCCACTTCAGCTCTAATAATAGGACCAAGAATGCCAAGGTGCTCTTCATATTCCCCTTGAGGATCACGTCTGGTAAAAGAGTTATCAAGGTACTTCCGAAAAACAACTTTCCTATATATGGTATTCTTTGGAATATCACCAGCATCTTCATTATACATTTCACTGAAATGATAGTATTTGTTTAAAGGAAGAGATTAAAAATGTCATAGAATTTAGAAATTATCTTTCTGAATGTAGTATCTACTGTGATGAACAAATGAGTGAAAATATAAATGACTCAAAACATAAGCTATTAATTACCCTTTAAGTCCCAGGTCACCTATCATTTCTCAGGTAAATCCTCCTATGATCCTCTTATTTGGCTCTTTAGGACAAATCTCTCTATATCATTTCTTACAACTCTACAGTGTTATTATTAAATATATATACATATAATTTCTATAGTATTATAGTATTTCTATATAGCATATATAATAAATTATATAATATTTATTTGAGAAATTATCTGTTAATACCTGTCATTTGAATGAATGCTCCATGAGGTCAGAAATTGTGCCCACTTTGTCCATAATTTTATTTCTAGTGTCTAGCAAGTTATCTGGCACATAGGTGGCACTTAATACATTTTGTTGAATGCATCAATGAATAAACAAAGTCTTGTGGTTTATTAACACTGCAGATTTTAATATCCAAAACAGACAAAGCCATGTAATGGGACAGTGCTGGGGCTTGGGGATGTCATATGACAGTGATCAGTTAAATTAAAAGATCACCTCTGTGAAGGCTTCTAGATGGATGGGTGTTTTATACTCTGAAAGTAGCTACTTTTTTCATGTTTGCTTTGGCAAAATCACATTATTTCTTATGTAGTTCACTAGCTCAGTCTGGCACCAGCACACATCACATTTCCCCACTAACTCTTAAATTTCTCAGGTCTGTGGAAATAAGACAAAAGCTCATCCATGATCTCATGGTATTTGTTAGGCTAAGTCAGATAGCTTCACTTATAGGGGAAATATAGGGGAACCAAATAAAGGATCAGAAAAAATATATAAATAAAAAACCAAAATTAACACATAACTATAAAGCAGAGGCATTATGCAGGGGAAGGGGAGAGAAAGGGATCAAAGTGGGGGAGGGAAGAGCACAAGGGACTATGGCAATGGTGCATGGGTGAGTCCATGGTGGGAATCTTATAGGGACTATACCTCAGAGGAGAAAGCAAATATTGTACAAAATGAACAATGATGTAAAATATATATAAATAAACTTAAAAAAGAAATCCACAGATAAACTAGTTATAAATAGTGATGTATATTATATTTAAATAGGAAATCATGGAGGAAAGTGTTTTAAACCAACTTTTAATATGGAAATATTAGGCATTGGACTAAAGAAAATGGTTCTGTAAGACACATCATGCAGTTGGGCCATATTTAGACAGGGAATTCTGTGTGTGTCCGGACCTCACCAAAGCTGTTGTATGCAACTGAGAAAGGGCTGTCCCCACAATCAGAGGTGAGCCAAAGGCCCCCACAAGCCAGGCCCTGCCTGGCAACTAGGAGCCCAGAGAGGGATCCAGTAATTGGGAGCCCAGCGGGCGATCCAGCTACCCCCAAGGCAGTCTGTGGGACCTCAAGACCCACCTCTAGAATTAAACAAATACAGAAGGAGGAGATTTTCAGGGACAGCGACCATTAACATATCCATAATACCACTGCCCTACTGGACTTCTGGCATAACAGTATTGGATTCGATTTGACCACCAGTTCCCAATATCCCAGAAAGAGCACACCAAAGAGATGCCGGCCAATACCAGTGACACAGAGTCCCAATGCACAGAACAAATTAGAAAACAAGTGGCACAGAGAAGAAAAATAACAAACAACCAAGCATGTCCCCAGGGAAAAGACACACTACAAAAAAAACAATCAAACACCAGACTGCAACACCAGTGACTTAGAGGAACTTACGAGTCTTCCGATAGAGAATTTAAAATTGCCATGATTAAAAAACTGAAAGAAGTTGAAAATGATATGGGAAAAATAATCAACAATCAGAAGAATGAAAATGAGTTCCTAAAGAGGGACCTGAAAGAAATGCAGGAGATCAAAGGATTAATGGAGGAGCTAAAGAACTCTGGGAAAAGCAGTGAAAGCAGAATAGATGAAATGGAAGAACGAATAAGTACTCTCAAAGACACAGAAATAAAAAAGAACCAAAACAGAGAAGGAAAGAGAAGTATGAAGGAAAAAGAATGAAGAAAGACTTTGGGAACTATCTGACTCCATGAGGAAAGGAAATACAAGAATTATAGGAATCCCAGAAGGAGAGGAGAGAGACATAGGAGCAGAAAAAATATTCAAGGAAATAATTAATGAGGACTTTCCAAACATGAAGGAGCTGAAAATAGACATACAAGAAGCAAGAAGAACATCAGACTTCCATGATGAAAGGAAAAATACAGCAAGACACATAATAGTAAAGCTCCCAAGAATCCAAGACAATGAAAAAATAATGAAGCTGACAAGAGGGAAGAAACAGGTAACACACAAAGGAAAACCTATCAGGCTGACATCAGACTTTTCCGAAGAAACACTACGGGCAAGGAGAGAGTGGAGGGACATAGTCAACAGACTCCAAGAAAACAGATGCCAACCAAGAATACACTATCCCACAAATCTTTCCTTCCTCTATGAAAAAAGAATAAGGACCTTCCCAGACAAACAGAAACTCCAGAATTTCATTACCACTAAACCCCCACTCCCAAAAATACTACAAGGAGTCTTAAAGCCAGAATCAACAGAGCAATGAATAAGAACAAAATAAGACAAAAAAAATTAAAATAAATAAAACCAGAGAAAAGACAAACAAAATGGCAAATACAGATGCTAACATATCAATATTAACTCTAAATGTAAACAGACTAAACTCTTCAATAAAAATACACAGAGTTGCAGGCTGAATTAAGAAACAAAACCCAACCTTTTGCTGTCTTCAGGAAACACATTTAACTACAAAAGATAAAAATAGACTGAAAGTAAAAGGATGGAAAACAATCTTACAAGAAAATAGACCAAAAAAGAAGGCAGGACAGCTATACTTATATGAGATAAACAGATTTCAAACTCAAAAAGGTGAAAAAATACCCAGACGGTCACTACATTATGATCAAGGGGACAATACTTCAAGAAGAAATAACACTCATTAACTTATACTCACTAAATGAAGTAGCACCAAAATATATCACACAGCTATTATCATCTCTGAAAACAGACATCAGAGAAAACACATATGTAGTAGGAGACTTCAACACACCACTATCAACAATAGATAGATCAAGGAGACAAAAAATAAGTAAGGACACTAAAGCTCTAAATAAGGATCTAGAGCTCATGGGCTTAACAGACATCTATAGAACACTAAACCCAAAAAAATCTGAGTACACATTTTCCTCAAGCACACAAGGATCATTCTCCAGGATCGATCACATACTGGGACACAAGACAAACATCAACAGATACACCAAGACTGAAATCATACCAACTATCTTCTCTGACCATGAAGGCATCAAACTAGAAATAAACCATAAAAAGAAGGCAAGGAAACCTCCTACCTCATGGAGATTGAAACCCACACTACTGAAAGACCACTGGACTAATGAGAAGATGAAAGAAGAAATTAAAAAAATACTTAGAGTTGAATGACAAGGGGGACACCAACTTCCTAAATGTATGAAACACAGCAAAAGTAATAATAAGAGAAAAATATACAGCAACACAGGCTCACAGTAAGAAACAAGAAAGAACTCAAAGAAACAACCTAATCTCATATCTCAAAGAACTAGAAAAGAACAACAACAAAAAACCCCCTAAAGCCAGTAGAAGAAAGGAAATAATAAAAATCCAAGCAGAAATAAATGAAATGGAAACTAAAAGAACAATCCAAAAGATCAATGAAACTAAAAGTTGGTTCTTTGAAAAAATAAAATAGACAAACCCTGAGCCAGGCTCATAAAGGAAAAATGGGAGAAAGCACAAATAAATAGGATCACAAATGAAAGGAGAAATCACAACAGACACAGCAGAAAGCAAAAGAATAATCAGAAACTACTATGAAGAGTTATATGCAAACAAGTTCAACAATATAGAAGAGATAGACAAATTCCTACAACTCTACAATCACCCAAAGCTAGATAAAAAAGAAATAGAACACCTAAACAGACCACTTACAAGCAGTGAAATTGAAATGGTAATCAAACCCCCCCCCCAAAAAAACAAAAGCCCAGGACCAGATGGATTTACAAATGAATTCTACCAAACATTCAGAAACGAATTAGTGCCTATCCTTCATAAACTCTTTCAAAAAATTAAGAAGGGATAATACCAAACATGTTCTATGAAGCCAACATTACACCAAACATGTTCTATGAAGCCAAAACTGAACAAGGAAAATACACAAAAAGAAAACTACAGGCCAATCTCTCTAATGAACACTGATGCAAAAATCCTCAATAAAATTTTAGCTAACAGAATCCAACACTGCATCCATAAGATAATTCACCACAACCAAGTAGGATTATTCCAGGGACACAAGGGTGGTTCAATATCCGAAAATTTGTAATCTAACACATCGACAAAAATATACAAAAACCATATGATCATATCAATATATGCTGAGAAATATTTCAACAAAGTACAACACCTATTTATGATAAAGGCCCTTGAGATTCTTGGGATACAAGGAACATACCTCAATATCATAAAGACCATATATGACAAGCCCATAGCCAATATCATTCTCAATGGTGAAAAGTTAAAAGCATTTCCATTAAGATCTGGAACAAGACAAGGATGTCCACTCTCACCACTGCTTTTCAATATAATACTGGAAGTCCTAGCCAGAGCAGTAAGACAAGAAAAAGACATGCAAGGAATCCAAATAGGGAAGGAAGAAGTCAAACTATCACTGTTCAACAGGAGGCGGAGCAACATGGCGGCGAGGAGACGCTGCGAGTAAGATCTCCCATTAAAAAAAGTTAATAGGGAGGAAAAGCGGCAGGTCCCAGTGAGAACGGGGACACGGAAGATAAACGGACGACTCCAGCAAACTACCCGAAGAAGAAAGTTGCCATAAAAGAGGACTAGAAGGGAGGAAAGCGC